CGAATAAAAAGCTATGAAATTGGTGAAGGCACCCACAATGAAGTATTTCCTATGAGCACAGCCTTAGATTCGGCACTAGGTACGCACATCCAGCCTATGTTACTGATTTGCCGCATGTCCGTTAAATTCGGCCTTATTACCATCCGAAAACCACCTGCATCAATCAAGCTACAACAAGACAAGATTGCTCAATCATTCTCTTATGACACCAAACATGTGGTACCAAAAACACGCGCGTCTGGAAAAGGACGAGAGCACACTTGAAAATGAGTAAGAAATCAGAGAGGAGCAAATGAACAAGTACAGATGTCAACTTCACATAATAATTGGTAGTCTTGTCTTCCTTTCCGGTTTCAAGTTCTGATACACCTTTTCAAATAATTTCCCTTTAGCTCTAATCAGCACGCTGCGTTCGTGATTCAGACAAACGTGCATGAGTCAACTGTGGGAATGAAGCAACGCAACCAAGCATGCACATTAGGCACAACCCCAGTCCTGACAACCAATGAAAGCACTCAGTACTATGGCATGACATCGCAGTTAAAGCACGTCCCGGATTCATCAAGAAGTGCATACACTTCGAGGGCGATGTCGGAAGATAAACCCCATATAAAATAACGGGAACCGAAAGCGAATCTGGTGTCTGTAGGCTCAACAAATCGCAAACAACAAACCTCGAAGAGTTCTTTCAATTCCATCCCTTGTGACCGATCCAAAGACCCAACAGTAGATTCGCAAAACTTCTCCTCAGCTACTTCCGAGGCCAAATTCGCACCCATCATGACAGCACAGGGGATGTTAAGCGTGTCGCGAATAAGGTCTGTCAACAAGCTCACTCCCACACCAGGTACTTTGTTCAAACCCTTGAAATGGGAAAGATACGGATAAACAAGAGCATACTTGACCGTTTGTTTCTGGCATTATAGTAAAGAGGGAAAGGGCATCGTATCAAACGCCCTTGCCACTGCTTTAAGTTCACAGGTGAGGTAAGGTAATTGGAATTGACGACCTTAAGGTGGAGCCAATCAACCATATAGAGACCAACAGGGAGCGCACCCAGTACATACACACCACATGACCGTAGGACAGAAAGTGCTTTATAACATACGTCGTTAAATTTGCCAAACGATGGAAAAAAAATTGCATTAGTGTACACGTGCTCCAGTTGGCACGCCCAACATCCTTTTGTGCTTGAAGTTTTAACAATCAAATAGTAAAATTGCTCCATTAAATGTAAACAGGAATGTTTAAAGGCAGCAAGGTATGGGAAAGCTTTAGCAGCAGTTAGCCGTTGTTTTGAGTAAGAGATTGATGGTGCAGAAAGGTAGAGAGCTGGGTGACAAACGCGAAATTATAGGATAAACCTGGGCTTAGCAGTACCTTGTTTTAATAATTCATGTAAAAACAGACGGAAAAAGTCCACAAACAACACAAATATCGGGCGGAGTGGTCTGTAAAGCATATGATTAATAAAATTCGGTATGATATTTTTAAGAAATCCAGAATCACCCGGACGCAAAATGGAATGACTGCATGGCGAAGCGATTGCTTCAATTAAAGTGCAGCACAAATTCACACAGCAGCAAAGCCCGGCTTCAGCTCAAATTTGTAAGATGCTAATGCATGGGTAGCATTAGCTTACAAATGAACCTGCACCAGAAACTGCGGATTAAAGTCGCCGGGACGTTATTAACTTACGTACCATTAAATTGACAAGTAGTCTGCACAAAGGAAATGCAACAAAGGCAACAATTCGTGACAGCCTAAAAGTGCTAAATAGAGAAAATAACAGAACAATTAGGGATGTGTTCTAACAGCAATAACCAATTATCAAAAACGGTAATGAGCAAGTATCTGAGGCACTAAGCAATAAAAGATAGTCAGAAACAGTGTAAAATGTACACCACTAAAAATGGTGCTGCTTGACTTGCGACTCCCCCTCGACCATTAGATCAATGCAGAACTTCTGGCCGGAGGAGTAAAAGTGAGCCAAGATCGCATAATACAAGTACATAAGTAGGTCTAAATAC